CGCGCCCCCCCAGCAGCAACGACTTCCCTCCGATCACATTCAAAATTCGCGCGATGTGTTGCAATCCCCGCCGTCCGCAGAGACCGACGGACGCGTTAATGGCGTCGACAAGGCATTGCAGGGTTCTGAGGCCGCGGTAGGCGCCGATCCATCGAGCGAACATGAGGGCTTGGCCGGCGAGGCAGAGCATGTAGAGACCCTGGACCATGACGGGGATCAAGGTGCCCTAATGTCAGGCGACGACTCAGGCCAGTGGACGGATGAGGACAGCCACGAACTCAAACGCGTCAAGGTCTACGAGCTCATCGGCTCGCGCTGGGTCGACCAGGGTACGGCTTTTTGCTTCGGCGACTTTCAGGACAATGAAGCCCTTTTAATCGCCCGTGCCGAGGCCGACTTCAATCATATCATTCTCTCCACCACCATTCGAACCAACGATGTCTACCAGCGACAGCAAGGTTTGTGGTCGGTAGTCATTGCGCGTCAACCTGAGTTGATCCCCACTCACAGATACACTCATTGTGTGGACTGAACCCGATGGAGTTGACTATGCACTTAGTTTTCAGGATCCCGAGGGCTGTGCTGAGGTGTGGCATTTCATTCAGCAGGTTCAGAGACATTTGAACAACCGAGGTGAGTTGAACAGCTTTCTTTTAGTAATTAATCGTATCGCTTAACTCCCTTTTACAGACGAAGCGGGCCTTTCGTCTTCTCCTCTCATAGGTCCCGAGCCGTCCATTACGACCACTAGCATAATTCGGTCTGGACACCTACCGCCACCTCGGCTGGGAATCATGGGGGAGATTGAGAGGGCCATCAAAACGCTAGCGAGAACAAATGCATATAAGGAACGCATATGTGAGTACATACAGACAGAGGTGATTTTCCACTTTTTCCTGTCATGCCTCACGCTCAAACTACTGTATGGATCCGACTAGGAATACATTAAAGGCATGGTGGAGGTCATGAATCAAGCAGAAGATCTCGAGAGTCTAGAGAATTTACACGCACTCTGCTCATGTATGCAGGCCATTCGTGAGTGGTGACATCTCGTGTTTTCTCGCCATTCTGCCGACGAATAGATGCCCAGTCATGCTCAACGACCACAGTCTATATGAACATATACTGGAAGATGACATTTTCTTTGGCGTTGTCGGCATGCTAGAATGTCCGTCGCACCCGTCTTGCTGCATGCGTGTTGCCTGTCTAACCAACTATGCTACGCAGACGACCCAGAGTTCCCCACCTATAAGGCAAATTATAGAGAGTTCCTTCATCAGACCTCTCGCTTCCATCAACCGGTCCCTATACGCGACGAGATCATTCAGAAGAAGGTACACCACACGTATCGTCTACAGTTCCTCAAGGACGTAGTTCTCGCTCGCGCGATAGACGATTCCACCTTCAACGTGCTCAATTCGTCCATTATTTTCAACCAAATCGACATCATCAATCACGTACAAAGTGACATCGTATTTTTGCACGAGGTCATCAGTTATTTTGTTGACGACGAGGTGGCTACCATGCTCGGGTTTGAGCCGAGGTCCAAGGATACGCTGAAAGATGTGGACAAGATGGACGTCGATTCGCCAGAAGTAAAGACCAACAGCGCAGCGTACCGTAACGGGATCGACAACTCTTCACGTTCCAAGCCCCTTCCCGATGAAGAAGTAGAACACAAACGCGAGGTCGTATCCTTGATTCAGCAACTGTGTGTCATGGGTAAGAATGTACAGCTTCCAGCGCGTATGGCGCTCTTCAGGACCCTTGTGGACCGTGGGGTCCTGTTCGCTGTTCAATGGGCGCTCGCACAGCCCGAGACGGGCGACAATGGACGCCTGATGATCGCTACTGCCGGTGAAATCCTCATCACGCTGTTGGACCACGATCTAAACGGAGTACGCGGTCACGTGCTCCGGTTCATCGAGGCGGAGAAGGGAAATGGGAAGAAAGCCGTAGAGAAAGAGACTATCCTGGAACTCATGTGTCGGATCATGGTGAAGAGCCGGGAACTTGATGTCCAAAGCCAGGTGGGCGAGGCGTTGAGGACGCTGCTCGAGATCCAGCCAGATACTCCCGATGCGCACGTGGGTCTTGGATCCGTTTTCAGATTGTAGAGGTCCTGACGTCGATCTCGTCTACAGCCGGCGGTAGGCATGAAGATGCTGCAGCGCGCTAAAGATGACCCTGGAACGGAACGGTTTATGGAATATTTCTATAAGCATTGTGCTGAGATACTGTTCAGGCCGCTATCTGATCTTCCTGACTACAAGACTGTAACCGGTAGGTCTTGACCAGACATTCTGTACTCTATGCTTAGATTATTTCAGACTCACCAATCTCCTTCTCGCGGGAAAAGGCAAACCTGTACCTCTATCTATGTGATCTACTTTCCAGCTTCACGGTGCAGCACTCCTTCCGCAGCCATTTCTTCATCCTTTCCTCCAATCATGCACCTCGAATAGCGTCACTGCTCAGCACCCGCGACAAACATCTCCGTCTCGGTACGCTTACTCGTGCTTGACTCGCCTAGAGTATTTAGCATTGACGGCATTTGTTTTCTAAGCCGCCTTCCGTTTCTTCCGTGCCTGCTTGAGGCTCAACAATATCAATATCTTCAAGCACCTCATCAAGCATGATGTCTTCCAACCTATCCTTGATCTCACCATCAGCGAGTCTCGGCGAGACAACCTGCTCAGCGCGTCGTGTCAAGAATTCTTTGAACACATCCGCAAGGTCCGTCACTCAAGTTGCTCAAGTATCGCTCTAGGCTAATCGGGCTTGTATTGTAGGATAATCTGAAGGATCTCATTGAGCACTGTATGATACGACATGAAGCCAAGATCAAGGCTCTGGCGGAGACACATCTTGGAGGTCCTCGGTTCCATAACTTCATCCGGCGTTGGGAGATGAATATCGCTCCGCCGCCCGAGGAGGAAGAAAAGATCGAGAAGTACGTGCTGTATTTTACCATCAACGTCTGAGCTCATACTGTTAAATTAGACCTATTCCACATTCTGTACGCCGCTGGGGGCAGGGCCGATTACTCGAGACAGAGGAAGAAGACTACTTCAATGCCGACGACGACGAAGAGTTTTCGCCCGTCATCAGCTCGCCGCCAACACGCGGCATTGGCCTCAAACGAAAACGCATGCGTGGCGGCAGTCTACCCGGGCGCGTCTCGCGACCGCCAATGCCATTGCAGCCACTCAGTGCACTGGTAGCGTACGACGACGGCGACGACTTGGGCGGACTCGGGCCAGTCGAAGACAGCGCACCCACTCCAAGTCCATTACCACGCGCCCACCCAATGTCCACTGGCTACTTCTCCAGTGACCGCCCCCCTCATGACATTCCCGCTAGCCCCCGTATATCCCACAAACAAATTTTGTCTAAAACTACACCATCCGAGCCTGCCAACGAAGACGATCTCCTTGACCAGCTTTTCAAGGCGAGCGAGGCTGGGCGGCCACCAGATTTGGCTGGTGCGAAGCGACGGCGAGAGGACGACGACGACGAGCTGTTGGAGCGTTTGGCGAGTAGAGCAAAGCGTCCGAGCGTTGGGCCCAGCCCCGAGAGAGGGAAGGAGAATGCGGAGTCGCCGGTAACTGCGAAGGCAGCGCCTGCGAGAAGTGCCGAGGAGGGTCCTAAAAAGATAAAACTAAAGTTTGGGGCAGTGGGTGCGGCGGTGGCATCGGCCACATCGCCCTCTGCACCTGCTTCTCCTTCAAATCCTGGCATTAAGGAAGGGGACAATGGCTAGTAGCTAGTTTGTGTACATTTATGCCATATGCTCCAGGCATGATCTGTGCAATACTCTGATGTTATGCATGTGTATGTCAATGTAGAGTCTGCATCAATGCATTCATTTTGTTGTCCAATAGTAACAGGATTGGGTGAATATTTTATACTTGATCGGTATACATATTCATATTCGAAGGCAGGCTAAACGCGATGTACCCTAATGAGGCTAACCAAACAGCATATAAAGTGCGTAGTATGCAAGAACGACACGGATAGAAACTATGCTAACGTAGCAGAACAGACATATGGTGTGCGAGAACAGGCGAGGGCAAAGTAGGAATCATTAGGAAATCATTTTCGTATGAAAAGAGCCGAGTGGAGAGAACTCAGTGTATGACGAAGGCGGCTACTGCAGGGAACGCGAAACGTCCTAACTATCAACGGAGTATAACCAGAGTAAATATGCAGTGGAGAGATGAGGACGATTGCTCAAATAGTGAGTACATGCGGAATGACATGAACAAGTGGACATCAACCGGCGCGGCTGGCCTCTATGTTGGGTGTAGTCGAGGACAAATTGTGTGCGAGAGAATCGTTGCTGGCATCAGCACTGGGCTGATCGGGTATCGTTGAATGAGAGATGCCGAACGGGGAGAATGGGATATTGACATTCGTCGCCAAGCTGAATCCCTGAGGATTGGCTCTGGGGAAGGCCGTTGGACTGATCAGCGGAGCTGAGAAGGGCGCCAAAGGAGGGGGTGAAATAAAGCGAGGGGGTGGAGGAGACGTTGTATAATGATAAGAGGAAGTAGGCGATGTCATGCCCGTATCACGGCGTCCTGCTCTGCCAGCATCCGAATCGCCCAGTCGGGTTGCAAATGCATCATTGAAGGACTGTCCCATCGTGAGGCCTTGCTGCTGGGGAAAATTGGAGTCTTTGCCAGCGCTAGTTGGGGTGCGTACACCTAGTGGATTCTTGCTGTAGGATAGGCGAATACCACCACCCTTCACCAAGCCGTTGAGGGTATTGCCGTACAATTCATTGAGGGCTTTGGTGGCATAATTGACGTCCTCGAACTATAACGTTGTCAGTGGTGGCTCATAAAAAAGACAACTGCAAGATACCTCAACAAAGCACATAGGCCCATTACTCTTCTGTCTAAAGCACAGCTTACGATAACCTGGTCGTTTGGAGAACAGATCCCTCAGTCGATCTTCGAGATAATTGAGAGGAAAGCCACCAGGAGCGGGGGACGTAGGCAAATTGCCCACATATAGAGTGTTGATCTACGAGAGATGGGTCAATACAAGCTGACACAATTGCACATCGTCGCTACGCACCGGTGGATTCTGATCACCTGGGTTACGTCCAGCCGCTGAGCTGGCACCTGATGCTGGAGATGGCAGCTGGGGGGATGTGGCGCCCTGATCTGTACTGACGGCGAGGACAGTCACCGACCGTGCTACCTCATCATCATGACCATTCTGGGATCCGCTCGCACTGGAGGCATTCGAGTCAGGTAGAGACGGCGGGCCTGCGGAAACAGACTGCGCAATCACCATGGGCTGTGGCTGCTCGATACCCGGTGAACCAGCACGAGGCCGAGAAGGTAACGAGGGATGGCCAGGGAGCGATGAGGGGTTCGACTGTGGGGAGAATGGAACGCTGCAAATGCCTGCACCGTTGCCATTCTGCGAAGAAATCATGAACGGAACGGACGAATCGAATCCTATAGGCGGTGAGCGCTGAGAGGGCGACAAAGGACGCTGCGGGAGAGAAGGCGGAAGTACAGGCACCGGCATCTTCCTAAGCGCAGCACTGATTCCTACGTCCCGTAAATTGCTCCATGGGCTGGTCGCTGCGCTCGTCCCATTTTGCGACGGTGTAGTATGCAGCGCAGGCGGCGAAGGGGCAGTCGATCCAGCATTCGGAAGCACAGGATTCTCCGCCGAGAGGACCGAATTAGCGCCCTGTCGTACCATCTGCTGTGGCACAGAATGAAATGCCTCGAACGCATTTGAGTTCTGCCGTAATCTAGCCGCCTCCTTCTCCTTGCGCTTCCGTTCGCGCTCGCGCTCATCTTCCTCGGCGCGCTCGCGTGCGCCACGCGAGCCAAGACCGCTGAAGTTCATGACACCCACGGCTGCGAGCTCGGCGCGTCGTCGCTCGCGCTCCTCGTCGTCCCTTCCTTCTATTCGGTCCCGGCGCTGGCCAAGTCCAGCAATACCCATCGCTCCTAAAGCACCAAGTTCGCGGTCCCTCTGAGCAAAGGCCTCGCCCGCAACGTTGGTAGAACCTCCCAATCCAGCCAAACCATTCAGGCCTGAGAAATTGACAAGCGTTTCAGGCATAGAACCGTTAACGCCGTTCATCAACGAATTTAGAGGCATGCCCGGGGGAACGCCAGGGCCTCGCTTCGTGTGTAAATTCTTCTTCGCCATCTCTGCTTTCAAAACTGCACCACGTTCAATGTCGACCCGACGGCCTTGGAGAATGTCACGTGCTTCAAGTGCCTCCTGACGAGTACGAAACTTTGCAAAGCCAATGATCTGCTTGCGAGGCGGCTGCACAGGAAGATTCGACGGAACAAAATGGCTTTCATCGTTCTGCATGGGCGCGGCGGGCCATGACGTCGTCGTACCGTCACGTCCACCGTCAACAACCACACCACCTTGATTGACAGTTACCAAGTTGTACGGGTCGTTGGAACCTGGATAGAGGCGCGCGTTAGGTCCCGTGGGAGCGCTTGCGGAACCATACGCGGTGAACTCTTTGTTAGGAATTTTGAGTGTCGCCGCCTCAAATCCGGGAGAAAACGTGAACATGTTCTGGAACTCGCGTTCCTGGTATTGATAGAACAATAAGATCGTATCAGAACTGCATGACGTCGAGCAACGATTGGACTCCCAGCCACTTACCTGCATGTCTTCTGGGAAACCCACGACAAATATAGTCGAGATCTCTTCCTGCTGCTGAGCCTGAGTATTGCCATTCGCATGATTCATTCCAGAGGCCCCCGCGACCGTACCGCCTTGCCCTCCAACGCTAGGCCCAGACCCGGGGCCATTAGCGGAAAGTGTGGGTCCGAACTGCGTAGAAGGTAACGTGTTATGATTAGGAAGCCCATGCGACATCCCGTTGGCGAATTGCCCTTGAAACGACGGCTGCGGTCCCGACGGATGCAGAGACATCGAGCCCTGTTGATTCACTTGAAGAGTCGACGGCTCCGCCCCCGGGCGGAAAGACTCGACGCCGAAGGAATGTTGCTTGCTTTGAGACATGCCGTTCGGAACATTCGCTTGTGGTCCCACGGTGGTGTAGTCGTGTGGTCGTCCGGGATGGTGGACGGAATCGAATGCGTAAGTGGCCTGCGACTGTGAGTTGGGACCACCGAACAGATCCGCAGATTGCCCAGGATAACCGACTGTGTTGAAACTCGATGAGGTGTCTCGGAAGGGAACGGTGTTATGGCGTGTACGAGCAGGGAATGGGTTGAAGGACGCGGAAGTCCTGAAAGGTCCCGATCCGAACCCGTTCACTTTGGCAGCGTAATTAAGAGCGTCAGGCTCCGAGGATAAAGGGGCGAAGTCAGAAGTGGGGATATGAATGCTGTTCATGTTATTATACACTGATTGGTTGGTATTCGTGTGCGGAGTACCCATGGAGTACGGATCGGTCGAATGCTGTGAGGGTTTCAGATGGCTGGGGAAAATATTATTGTTGCTAGGTGAGTCAGGACGAGCAGGCGGTTGTTGGGACTGCATTGGGATGTGGTATGGAACCGACGGAGAGCCTATAGACATTGATGATGCAGAGGACAACGAGCCAAAGGTGTTTACAGAGTTTCCGGGAGCTTCAGAGTCAGAAGAAGAGATGGGCTCTGCGTCTGCCTGTGCGTCGACGCTATCTAGGAGGGAGCGATTAATAAACTCCTCACCAGAAGGATGGGAAGCCACGGCGGAAGAGAGAGGACGGCCGGATACAAGGGAAGCCAGGCTGGGCAGATGAGACGACAGTATAATACTCTTGACAGGTTTGCTAGTGGTAGGAGGCAGCAACAAGTTGAAGCGAGAGGAAGGTGGGCTTAGAACATCAACAGCCAGGACGGCAACGAGGACAGCAGAGGGGCAGAAACGCGCGCAGCTGTCGATATAAATACAACGAGACGATGACTAGAGCGGTTTGGTGTCGATAATGTACGCGATGGAGGACGAGCTGAGCGATGAGGGGCTGCGCGACGCGTGAGACTAGACGTAGATGCGGAACGCGGTGCTGGCCGACGCGAAAGAGATCAGAGAGCAGTGAGGGCAACGAGAGGAGCAAGTGGGAGGTAAGGTGAGCAGAACGTGCGCGACAGCGAGGGCGGGACTTCGCTCGCTGTGGCTGGCGACGAGCAGGGGCTGATCGAGGATGTGGGTCAGAAGGGGCGGACGGCCGGAGTGCGCCCGGAGTGTAAATGGTCTCAGTGAACGCAGAGTGCGTTCCCACGCACAGACCAGCTTACCTTTTTAGGCAATCAAAAAGCCCAAACCTAACCTTATTTCTCGGCACGCACAAAGGAGCACGTGGCCGGCCCCTATCTGCCGCCGCACCAGCCACAAGTGACCAGGGCACAATGGGCAGCTGAGTCGCGCAGCTCGTCGTCATTGTCAACGGTGAGCAAACAGATGAGACACCACTCAACGCGCATGGTTTGCTCCCCCTGCCCCAGCCATTCTATCCGCTGCACCTTTATGCTCCTGTGTGCCAAACGGCATCGAGTCGTGTCGTGTAGACCTCAGTCAGATAGAGTCCTACTAGATAGAATCTGGAAGTGGTGGAGCAAGGACACGATAGAAAAGAAAGCAAAGAGCGGCAGTAAGTGAGGTGAAAAGAGGTCCGAAAGAGGAGGAAAGGTGAGGATGGATGGCGTGGGCCAAGTGCACGAGTCCACGCGAACCAGACGTCCTTCACGGTGATATTCGACCTGCCGACCGCCAGCCGCGGGCTGTCCCTCCATTTCCATTCCTTATATCGATTTAAGCTGCGCCACCACAAAATCGTTGTATTCCAGACGCAATTACAACGTATCTACGTTATTGTATCTAATGCATCACGCGTTACACTACCCCGCAACGAGACAATGTCTCCGATACAACAAATACAAGAAAAGAAGTGATAATCCAATTAATCCAAAGCATATAAATCCTCCACGAGCACTGCTGAAACATCGAGGATATCAAGCATCAATCAGGCCAGACCCCATGGCATGCACGCGCGACATGCATGCGGTGTCTCTGTCAATCTGATGTAGTCGGCATTAGATGCGAAAATGAGAGGTGCGGGATCAAGCCTCGCACCTGTGAGAGCCCAGTCTCACCACTCTCGCCAGTCCTCGTGGTCGCTGAACACGCCCCATCCACCACGGTGCGTACCGTGTACTCTGAGCTGCACCTCATAACCGGTCATAAAGCTGGCGACAGACAATATGACGACCGCCCAGAATAGTGCGCCGAGAAAGCGCCAGCGCGCACGGGTAGTAGCCTCCGCAATGGCGTGCGGTGAGCGCGGATCATAGTAAGGGAGGAGCTGAGTCTGTTGTGCAATGGGCGTAGGACCGTAGCCTGGGTGAGCAGGAAATGAGGGAATGGCCGAGACATTCTCTGGTGCACTCATCGCCAACGGCGGCTGGGAGGCAGAGTCGGCAAACTCGCTGTACGGTGGCGGGGGCGAAGCGGGCTTTGGCTGCGATGGTTGTGGGCGAGCCATGGCGGG